TGTTAGCCAGGATGGTCTCGATCTCCTGACCTCATGATCCGCCCGTCTCGGCCTCCCAAAGTGCTGGGATTACAGGCTTGAGCCACCGCGCCCGGTTCTCTCTGTTTTTTTTAATTTGAGATGGAGTCTTGCTCTGTCACCCAGGCTGGAGTGCAGTGGTTCAATCTCGGCTTACTGCAACCTCCTCTTGCTGGTTTCAGTGATTCGCCCACCTTAGCCTCCTGAGTAGCTGGGATTACAGATGTGCGCCACCATCCCTGGCTAATTTTTACTTTTATTTTTGGAGACCCTCTCTCCAAGAAACAAACAAACAAACAAACAAACAAAAGCTCACTTGCAAAAGCTCCTTGCCTTGGCCCCTGCTTGAAGTGTATATTCAGGACAACTTCAATCTATGCTCCCAGGTGGTCATCCTCAAGCCTTGCCCTTGATTAAACCCTACACTTCCTCATATCTTCTGAGTCGCTTTATTTATTTATTTATTTTGATTGGGAGTTTTGCTCTTGTTGCCTCTCAGCCTCCCAAAGTGCTGGGATTACAGGTGTGAGCCACCGTGCCCAGCCCTAAAGTTATCTCTGGAAGAGAACAAATGATTGCATAAGAAGAGAGGCATTGGTGAGGGTGGGGAGGAGACAGCTGTCCTTTGTGTTATGGAAAACAACTGTGGTCTCATGTGTCACTGGAAAGGGAAGTGTTTACTCAAGGACAGCACGGGGTGACCTTTCAGACGCTCTGGGCTGAGAAGGGGGAAGAAAAGGACATCCAGAGTGATGTGGCTTCTGGGAAGTTGCCTAGGGAAGGTGGGCTCCCAGGGGACTTCCAAGATTTAAAGAAACAGCATTTGTAGCTGGATGTGGTGACTCATGCCTGTAGTCCCAGCTACGCAGGAGGCGGAGGTAGGAGGATCCCTTGAGCCCAGGATTACAGGTGTGAGCCACTGCGTCAGGCCTGGGACTCTTCTCTGATCCTGCTTCCCCCTCAATCCATGGGCGAGCCCAGCACCTACTATCTCCTAAAAACACCTTTCTATGCCGCCCTCTTATACACATCTAGATGTGTATAAGAGACAGGTCCAGGCCCCAGCCCTGCCTCCCTCAGACCTAGGGTTCCGAGGCCACGTGACTCACGTGCTCCAGTCATAGCCCGTGGGCTCTGGGTTGCTGTG